TCCAAAAGCGGCCCACTAGACATATTGCAGCATATACAGCCACAAAGCGATTATAAAGTTTTACGGCCAGCCCCTGTTGTTATATTCACTTAGGTTTCAACCAACCCGCCATTAACAAAGTCATAAACTCCAGTTTCACCCTTAAACATATTTAAATTTAGCGCAAAAACCGGGTATACGCAACGTACTTCCGCTAGTTTTCTCGTAAATTTAACTCTCACCTTTGAGGTTGTAAATTTTAGATTTTATCATGCTTGTGTTTTGTGTCTAAACATAAGTGTTGTTGTAATATCATAGACTAAAAACTTTTAATTCACTTTTTGGAAATTAACTCTTTCGCTTTAACTTTCCGGTAAGTTAACAACTTTTAAACAAGGATTGTTTTCTATTCATTGTTTAGATACTACATGGCATTACAAAGTAAATCAACGCAAACAAAACAAGCTAATTAAATTATGCATATGTTTTGTGTTAAAATACAAATGTTTGTTTTCCAAACTGATAGTTTGGCAATACAAACAATGCAACCTTTTTGTCTATTTAGTTTGATATTTGCCTGCCGGTTCCTGAATAATTTGTATTACATGAGCTCACCGGGACCGGTTGCCGCATTTTAGATTTCCCTTGAATAAATTACAAAAGGGGAGTGACTTTGGCGTTTTAGTGTCTAGACCGCAAATGTAAACAAACTGTTTTTCATTAATAAAACAAATATTTAGTTTGTAAAAATATGGGAGAATTCGCTAATTATAATTATCACTTAAACTCCCTTGTGCTTGTGAATTTTACAATGTGGAATATTTCAATAGCTTTAGAGGTTTTTATGTTTAATTTTTTGTAAGTATTAAAAAGGTTTAATAACTTGATTAAAAAAAGTCGTCTTTTCCAATAATAAAACTAATTAAACAGTATATTTAGGGGGGTCCCACCAGTCACCCCTCATAAAAACCTCCCTTGCTCCCCTAAGACCCTAAATATAACCAAAGACTTGAAAATTTATGACAAGCGAACTTAAGTTATATATAATATTATTATATATAATTAAGTTATTTATTCTATAGTTATATATAATATAGTTTAATTATATTTCAACTTGTTAGTAAGTTCTTTCTTTAGGTTTACAACATTATTAAACAGAAAGCAGACTATATTTTTCTGAAGGTTTTTAAAGTGCTGAATACGAATTCGACCTCAGAATTGCTTCATCACAAAAAATTTAATCCAAAAACTGACTTGGTCCTGGAGGCCCCTAACAACCGATGGCCCCAGTGCACTGCAACGACTGCACTAGCAATAGCAGTAGGTTGCCATGCCCTAATAACTTTTACTATGCCCCACACATCAAAGTCCCACCATGTGACTAATTATTAATCAGGGTTAATTTTCTGTCAGTGTCCTGCTAATTTTATCATATTTTCTAAAAATAATACAATATATGCATACCCTAGGGGCCCTAGGCTAGGGCATACGTAAAAGGTTTTCCGCGCCACAAATTGTGGCCCACAATACGTGTTGTTTATTATGCTCGTGCTCGTGCAATTTGAGCTAAGGTTGAACTGTTTTAAAATTTGAAATTATAACATAAAACATAGGATTTCGTGCTGAGTGCTGTATTTAGAACTTTGTCAATTATTAGCGTCATAACTTTATCACAAACTCGAGGTAAGTAATAATAAGTATTAGCAATCAGAATAAGCGTTAAAAGTTTATAAATCTTTATAGTATTGCCGTTGAGTGAAGAAGTATTAATCAATCATATTAATCAATGGTATCACAATTGGTTTAAAAATTTAAGAATATAAATACTGCATTTAATGAAATTATAAAGTGTATGGTGCCAAATAAGTAATATTTTTGGGCACACAGAAAAAACGCTTTGATATAGTCAATAACAATGCTATCATTGATTGTTTTTCATTTCTCCAATAAAAGTTAAAGTTCAATCAAATATGTTTGGAGCAATTGAGGGTAAGGAATTGATTTTATTACAAATATAATATTCAGCCCATAACAAAATATTATCAATTTAAAATTACTTGTTATAGTGTAAATGGCTCTTTATATTTAACCTAATAGAAATGTGTACTTCCTTGTAAATGTTAGAAATGATTGTATTCAAAGTTTATCTGATCAAGGTAAAATTAACAATATTTAATTAAATATAAAATTGATTTATATTAAAAGTTATAAAGCTTCAACCAAAAATTAAAAACAAATGAAATAGGAATAGTCTTTGTTTCTTTAAATGTTTATGATTTTTATTCCAATGGAAACTATGGTAAAGTAAGTTATTACTGTCTTACAGTGAATACAATGTTTTCATTGTCTTGAAAAATACTTGTTATTTGCGCAATTATCATTCCCATTTTTTCAATGCAGCCTATATTTAATTTATTGATTGTTAAAATTAAGACAAACGCGCCAGGCCTCCCCTGCCACACCACACATCGGCAACCTGCAATCGCGTACGTGCGTAAAGTTAAATGTAATTATCTGATTATTCGGTATTTCTGGTGACGCCGATTGATGTTAAGTGTATGTTATCTCTGGTGTAGGTAGTGTTTAGTTGTTTGTTATATTTGCTTATTTCTTGGGGGTTGTACTCCCTAATCCCTAATTTTCAAAGTAAGTTGTACATGTTTTTTAATTGTATTTCTGCCATGCGTAAGTAATTTAATTACTCAATTATATCTAAATGATAAAAAAGGTAAATGTGTACTCATATAGGTATATACCTATTTATCTTGATATTCGGTGTCATGCCTTATATATAGTATTTATTGCTTTAGGACTTTTAGCAATCTTTAGGATTCGCCTCTAAATACATAAGATAAAATTCCTATTTCGTTTTAGAATAACCATATGTCATGGCAGACAGATCCTGCACATCCAGTACAGTAACTATTGCTAGTGATGGGACAGCAACTTTCTTAGAGCCTAATATCACCAACACTTCTAGTGGGTTACCAATAGTTCCTACAGAAAACAGAACAATTTCTTTTAATGGATCGAAAAACCTGTGTACACAAGACTACCAGAAGCAGTTTTTAGAATTCATTTTATTTAAAGTTCATATTAATGTATTATACAACTAATATTTAAACAAGAATATACATATTTAAAGGAATTAGAGCTTTGATTGCATTTAATATAGCCTTTTATTAGAAACCATAACTTTAATTTATGCCAATGATAGTTTTTCATTAAAATTCATTGTGGCTTCAATTAAATAACAATTTAATTCAATAATTTCTTATGTTTTTTTAATACGGATTTAATAAAATCACAATTTAATTCAATGACTTATTATGTTTGAACTAATTTTAACCAAGTTTGCACAAATAAATGTAAGACAATCATTTATTTGATCATAGCTATAATTCAGGTATTGCAAATACAGTACACCATTGGCTCAATGTTTAACCCATTCACAATATGAGAGCTTTTTCTCTGTGCACTCGGTCTATATATCTGCTTCTTCCATTTAATATGAACCATATTTAACAATTATTTACTATAGTATATATATATATATATATATATATATATATATATATATACATATTTAACCCACTCTTCTAAATAATCCAAAATACTTATTTATTTTGGTAAAAATATATTTTTCTAACATTAGACTTAAATGATATATATATTTATATATATATATATATATATATATATATATATATAGCTTTGAATAAAAAACCTCAGGAAGGAGTAAATGATTGAAAATAGCTGACCGCACAGGGGGCTAACCAATTGGTCGCCACAAATGGCAGACTATCATTTCCTCCAGCTATAACGTTTAATTATTTGCAAGGTTTAATCATTAAACAACAAACACGCATATAACAAACCATAAGATCTATTAAACAAAAAAAAACGATATTAAACAAACCAAAAACGCTCAAAAAGGTAAATAAACAAATAAAAACTGTCATCTGTCAGAAAAAATGACTCATAATTGGACTCCTAAAATGGCGACTTCCGTCGTAAATTTATTACATTAGCGAGATTCGGCAGGGTTCTTTCTGAGGTTTTTTATTCAAAGCCTTTAATACTGATATTCTTATTCTCTTAGCTTATTCTATAATAGAGAAGCTAGATGTTTTTTTAATAAATAGTAGATTTTTTTTAAAATAATATAAAACCAGATATGTAGACCAACTGCACAAAAATATTACTTATTTGGCACCATACTCTTTAGAAGTTCATTAAATGCAGTATTTATTTTCCTAAATTCTTAAACATTGTGATACTATAAAGATTTATAAAGCGGAAGTAGTTTTTCTTATTCCTCTTCATGTTTTATAATTTTTTTAAATATGATCAAGGGAATCTGAAATTAACCATCCGTTAAATATTTTATTTACTCTTTATTTATATTAGTTTGTATATCACCATGTTACATTTTCTTTCACCATGCACCACATGGCTGTATGCACAGAATTTCTTCAATAATTTAAATCTTGAATCATTCGTTTCATCTTTTGAATATTTTCATATATTTATATATTTTAAATAAATGCCAGTATATTTCTACCCTAGGAATCCGATCTTGTCTCTCCTTGATGGCAAAGTCACTTACCATTTCATACTCTTGAATGGATTCGAATATAATTTGAATTTTTAAAATTCACATTTTCCAAATTTTCCGATTGGTAAAATCGTCAAATAAATGAGGCTTCATTTGGTGAATATCGGTTCACTGGCGAAACAGCTGAAAATGCATTTCCTTAAGTCGGGGATACTATATAACCTCATGTTAGATTTCAAAAAATTCTTTTTGAAATCTAACATGAGGTTATATAGTTTTCCCGACTTAAGGAAATGCATTTTCAGCTGTTTCGCCAGTGAACCGATAAAATGTAATGTAATGCAATCTTTTCTTTAAATATGTTTAACTGGGCTGAAAGTCGGCACCTAAAATGAATATTTCTGATGGCTCATCACAGGCACAGGGCCGGATAAATTTTTACATAAATTTTACCTCAAACAATCTAGAGTTTTTCATGGGCCTTATCTCTGGATACAACTAAAATATCTCCCGACATGCCTTTATCTACTCTAGGTCGCAGTAAATCTTGGGATAAATTAGTACTTCGTTCGTTTTCTTCGTCTTCTCCTCCAACCCTCTTTATTTCGGTAAACAAATAGTCCCTTGGCACGTTGATTTTGATTAAATCATTTCCTGATGTTTTGTATTTTTTGGAAACAGGTTCATCCTCTAAACATGTTGTTTTCCTAGGACGTAAAGATATTTCCTAAAAATGCACCATATATCATATTAATATGATATATTTATTATTTACAATACCTCTTGGTAAAAAAATACGTCATTAAAATACACATACATTTTAACAATAGTATACGAAAAAACAAATTAAATATTTAAAAAATGTTGGTATGGAATATTATTTTTTTTATTTTGACAATACCTGTTAAAGAATAAACTTAATATCTTTATTCTTATAATAGTAGCCATCGTCTAGAATTTATATTTAGATTTTATCCATTACAATTTTTAAGTAGCACCTGAATTACTATTTATTATTATAATTATTTTGATGTTATAATATATAACAATAAAATATATATTTACAAAATTATATATGGAGAATATAAAGGCTAATAAATAACACAGTGCAACAGTGCAAAAGGAAATGGGATGAAACCAAAAGCAAATGAAAGGTAATAGCTTCTACAAAAAAACCCTATTAGGTTTTTTTTAGATCACGTCTCAGTTTTTATTATACGCATTTAAAGATGGTAGATTTTTGGACACCCTATAATAGGAAAAAATAAGTAAAACAATTTTAATTTTTTTAAATTATTCTGGCAATATAGTCGAGGAATCCATTCCAAGTAAAGAGCATTTTTACTAGAAAATTGGGCATTGTTATAAAAAAAAATATTCTCTTTAATGCTTTAATCAAAACACAATACTTGTATACAAAAACTACATTTTTTTGTGGTAATATATTGTAATAAATCGATGGTATTTTTGCAAAAGGGCGAATATGCCATTTTCCTGTTTTGATAAAAACAAAAAAAAGTATTTCGGCGTATTCTCCCTTTTGAAAAAATATTATTACTATAAAAAATTGCAGTTTTTGTAGCAAAAACGAGGTTGTTTAAAGGTAAAATTGATTTGTTTACTTAAAAACACATAATATTATGTACTATATATAGTAAATCAGTGACAGCAACATAAAACGTTTTTCTTAATTAATATATTTAATTAAATTATTTTTTTTATTTAAAGGACAATATAATATAAAACAAAACTTAGTTCCAAAATATAAAAATGTAAAAAATTGTACCTACAATATAACGGTATACATATAATTGAATATGTTGAAAAGTTTGCAGAACTTGTAATAACAATTTAATTAAATGATCACAAAAGAAAAAGAAGTCAATGAAATTTGGTGTTCCAATGTTGTGGTATAATTCAGGTATATTTTATTTTTATACTAAAACATGGTATTTTTGATTATATTAATTATATTTTTATCAATTTTTGGATGAACAGCTGGAACTTCTGGTACTTAAACTCGTGTTACTGCCGGTTACAGCAGTGATAGTTTTTAAATAAAAATAAAATAGCGAATTTAATAATGTTTAGTTTAAGAAGTAAAAATGCTATTTTTTCTTAAAAAAAACAAGTTTTCTATACTAATAAATCCAAAATATTAAAAATTGCTTTCGAATATATATATATATTTTACAACAAACGGATGACAAAAATGGATTTCTTACCTTCAAAAATAGTAAAAATTAGTAACAATTTTTTGATAGCGTCCTCTTCTGAGGGTCTTTGGTAAAAATTAAAATCACAAATGGATTCCTCGATCAAATTGACAAAATTATTTTGAATAATTAACATAGTTTTACTTATGTTTTTCCTATAGGGTGTCAAAAAATTTACCATCTTTAAATGCGTACAAAAAAAAACTGAGACGTGATATAAAAAAACCCTGATAGGGTTTTCTTGTGGAAAGTATTAACTTTCATTTGCTTTTGGTTTTATTCCATTCCCTTTCACAAACCTTAATTTTGTATCACAGTGTAATTATTTGTTGGAGCCAGTACAAGTTATCTTTATCAAACATTCAGCAAAGCAATTCTAAAAGCAATAAACGAACGTATTTATTACAACCTTTACTATTATTGTTACGTTTATACATTTCCGCAAAATTTCATTTTAAGTTTCAACAAAATCGCGAAAAAATATTGGTCGGACGAAATAGGAATAGATTCGCGGCATAATGGAGGCTGTCAGTCAAAGGAAATAATTAATTGGACCGGTCATTCGAATAACCTTATAAATATAGGTAACCGGGTTAAATATATTTTATAAATAGAGATTTCAGTTAATGGAAATTTTCTTTAATTTCATATTTTAGTGTTTTTCTGATAAATAGTACACTTAAAAAAATCTAACTTAGTACCAAGAACAGTCTTTAAATGCATTAAAATTGAAGCAATCTAAATTGTTATTTGCTCAATTAATTGCTATTAAACCAAAATAGGGAAAATTTTGCCTAAATGTCAAAGAATTTATTGCATTAAATGTATACATAGTATACATACTATAGTAACGTTATAAAATAAATGAAATTAGTACTTAATGCAATAACATTCTAACATTCTAACAAATAAATATCAATAGATTTAGGAGCGGCAATAGAGTCCGAGACTGGTCAAAAAGTACCTTCTGCGTGGTGTATAACATTTTATCTGCTGCCACAGCTAGGTTTCATGTAATAAAAATACTTTTTTTAAATTTATTTTTTGATCCAGATAAAATGTAATTTCGCGAGGCGAAAATTATAATATTCTATCTACATGTATAAACAATAAATTGTCAGGAAAAGCGTTTAAAAAATTGACCATATAAAAATCAATTTTAGTTGGCTTTATTTGGTCAAAATATAATATATTGACTTTTCTAGGTAGTTTTATATTATTATGTGAATTATGTTTTGCTCATTTATACTTTTTAATTATAAAAGAATAATAAACAAAAATAAAATATGAAGATAGAACAAAAATACAAAATAAAAATGAATTTGATTTTAAATTTTGTTCTATCTAAATGAATTTTAAATAAAAAAGCATTTCTTTCACAACTTTATTCTTACACAATATAGTAAACAATATGAAACGAAAAACCAAATGAAAAACGTCATTTTTTCTTTTTTCCAGCTTCAATTTTTTTTCTCATGCATCTTATCTTATTATCTTATTCTTAAAACATACTTTTAATAAACTGCTTATCAGCGTCTGGAATTAATTTAAATAATTGGTATAAATAAACCTTAATTAACTTCGGCGAGTAATAGTATATTTCACTACAAGGGCAGAAAGTGTGAGATTCCTGCACTGCGCGCCATGATGCCCGAGGCGAAGCCGAGGGCATCATGGCGCGCAGTTTAGGGCTCTCACACTTTCTGCCCGTGTAGTGTATACTATTTTTCTTACTACCTCGGCCGAAAATACAACCCGGCCGAAAATACGGGAAAAAATTAAATGTGTATTTATGTACCTATCTCCATTTGAAGAGCTTGATAAATAAATAACAGTAGGCCGTGAATTTATCGGTACCAATACAGTAAAAATAAAACGTTGTATTTTAATTAACAAATTACTACTTTCTAACAAATAAAAGTACCATTAAACACTTAAAACAACATAAAAAGTAAAAAAGTAAAAACATAAATTGTTTATTTGTTGTTATAATTGCAAAATTATGGTTTAAAACTGTCATATTTTTGTGTTTCTCATGTTGGCAGTACGAAATTTGAATTTTAAGCACACGACTAAAAAATTTTTTCTCTACGACTACTTAAGAATAGTAACATTCTAGTGTAATTTTTGATCATAAAAAGGATGTTTTTCTGCAATACTGTGCGAGAATATTCCTACTCTTGGTTAAGAATGGTCACAAGTAACGACATCTCCTGACTGTTTACTAAACGTAAAAAATTTAAAAATATTTAAATATTACTGTATTTATTAATTAAAAAATAATAGCAGTTGTATAATTAAGGTTTAGGCACAAAAAATTGGTTATATTTATTGTTTTTCAAATATACAAATCAAAATTATAATAAATTTAATATTAAAATGATAAACCAGTTACCTACTATACCGGCTTTGAAGTTTTGACAGATTCAAAAAGTTTAAAAAAAGACCTTTAAATGTAGAAAAAGAATAGATAAATAAATAAATAAAATAAAATACTTTATTTTCATCCCAAGAAACATACAGTTTATAGAGGGACACCTCTAATCATACAATTACTTGTAAAATTGTTACAATGTTATTTTTTTTATTAGTTAGTGTAAATAACTATTTTTAATTATAATAAAGATTTAGGCATACCATTTGTTTAAATTTATTATAATTTACATTATAAAATTGTGACGGCACAAAATGGTTTGACAATACAAAAAACTTAAATGTCAAAAACTGCTTGGTTTCTTTTCTCTGTTTAACATATAAGCGTTACTATTCTTACGTAGTCGTAGAGAAAATAATGTCTGAAACACGTTTGGAATAGCATATTCCACTCTCGTAAAACCGTCCCACTCGCCTTCGGCTCGTGTGTCAAACTTTTCCTCGAGCGGAATATGCTGTATTCCAAACTTGTTACAGAATGTACTATACTCCCGCTATTAGAGTGTGCGCGTATAGCTTGACCAATACATAAAACGTAAACTTTCTGCCGTGGAATCGGGGACGAAACAACGTAGGTAGTAAGAAAACATTTTTTTACCACCGGACATGGTCTCACATCGGGCAACTTAAAAAATCCTTTGTGGCTTCTTGTTCCAATACGATAAATTAGATTTGCCTATACAAAATCTTTGTCATCTTGTACTTTTTTTGTAAAATATTTTCGTAGGAAATTCTGGTAAATATTTAAAGACCTTCACCGATGCATAAGGTAATTTAAAATTAATATTCTCTGAGGACTACCCGTATTTGAGATGTTATTTTTTTTCTTAAAATCTTTTAATAAAATTTAGTATAGGTTCGTTTTGAGGGGTGGTGAATCCAGTGCCGTGCTTAGATTTTGTTTAAAAAAATCCCTAATAAGAATTCATAAAACTTAACTCTTAAAAACTGACATAGTAGGCCTTGTATTTTGTACTAATATGGCGTCTTTTACTCCAAAAATGCAGTTTATCAAGATCTACACTTTAAAACAAATCCGGTTAAAATCGCACAATAAATAAAGATTTTACAGGGGTGA